TAGTGGATGAGAGCTCTTGTCCATCAACTTTTTTACCATTGATTTTGTTTTGAGATTTGTGCCAGCATACGATAAACATAAAGACACATTTCTCTAAGATAGCCTTAATGTGTAGCACGAATCTCCAAGCTAAATCAAGAGATAAAGAAGTTGGTGTACAAGACCTCCAATCCACTTAAGTTTATTCGAGTTTTACTCCATATATATAACAAAGAGAGAGTTCATACATACATACATGCATAGACATGTTCATGTTAGTATAAGAACATACAAAAGTTACATACATACTAAAATGCTGATCTATCATACAGTTTATTTACTTCGTAAAGGAATAAATCTTGGCCTACAACTTTTCATGTAGGAGTTAGATATGTCTAACTTGTTTTATACAAGTCAATATTGTTTTTTCCACTAACTTTGATGTGCAAATTGAAGTAAATAAATATTTTTAAATATGAAACAGTCAATAACAAAGTGTCTGACACACAAATGTTCTAAAGTGAAACTTGTATTCTATAATTAAGAAAATGTTTGAGAAGTACCCAACATTAGTCTAATAAGTATCTAAGTGTCAATAATGAACGAGTTTTGGTGTGACTTTATAGTATTTGTGCTACGTAAGATTGCACTGTTTAAGATTCTGATAAAACTGATATGATTATGTATCAGTATTGGTGATTCTTCAAATCTTGGCAAACAGAAATTGTGATTATTCTTTCTCCCAATCCCTACAAACAGTCTTTAAAGTAGATGTGACAATCCTCATGAGGAAGAAGTTGATTACTTTGTAGCTTGCTCACAGAAGAGGTTTTCAGATACGAGTATTGAACTAAATCTTTTCACATACAAAGAGAGATCTCCTTGGGGCGTACACAACAAAGTGGCACTAAAGCTGATGCCCAGTAGGGTATAGCATATGTAGCTATATCCGTGCTTTCCTCACAATCAAGATTTAGGAGATACGGTGGACAGATATGGGATATTGAATCTGAACCTTGCTTTAAAAGATATCAAGTCAGTCTTGTTAGGACTCATGTAGTGAGCCTATGTAGTGAGCCTACTTCTCTAATCTTGTTTTGATGATTTAACAAACAATTTGTAACTGTATTTTCTAGTGCTAGTGTTGTTTTATATACCCAGGTTGAAAGATTCAAGAGCTACATTGACAATGAAGCCAATACAAATTAAGTCAAAGATTCAAGAACGAGCTTCATATGCATATCAACATGGTATATTAGTGTAGAATGTGTATTTTGTGTATCAATACTTTAAGCTCAATTATCTACACATACACATTCTCTATTTTCATCACAGTTTGGGTATTTCAATGAAAACTTTGTGATATTGACTTATGGACAAAATAAACTTTGTATACATCTTATATATAGTCCATAAATCAATTCAAAATATTTTTATAACTTAGTTTAAGTCATATATAAAAATCAAATGTTCATACAAACACGTATTTTTGAGTTTTTGCAAAACGATGAGTTTTCACAATTGGAAAATGTAATTTAAAATTTTTCTTTTGTAACATGTTCATTTTCATGTTTATAAACATTTTCCCAAGTTTTATAATTTTTGGAATTTATTTGATATTTTATAAAGACGTTTCAAATTCAGTTTTTTAGCAGTTTTGTCATGTGTCAGTTTTCGGTCGACCGCACAAGGCTTGCCGATCAACCGACCAGAGCGAGATCTTTCAGTATTGCTTCTCAGGGTATTTCGGTCGACCGAACATGACTTGCTGGTCGACCGACCAGAACATGACTTTTTAGCTGTTTTTCTCAGGGTCCGTCAGTTGACCGACAACTTGGGTTCGGTCAACCGATGCACACCCTTCGGTCGACCGACCAGTGTCATCCGGTTGACCGAACAGGTAGCCGTTGACATAACGGCTAGTTTTACAGATTTTTTTGATATTTCTTGGTTTTTGGGTCTTTGTTTCTTGATCCTATATATACCCCATACCTTTTAACTTCTGAACTAATGAAAAAAATTTTAAAACTAGTTTAAAATGGATTTAAGTTTGTTTAAGAGTTTATAAGTGTTTTCAAAGTTCGTTTTTGTGAAGAAACTTTCACAATAGAAGAAGATTGATTCCTTCGTGTTTGAGCTTCAATTTCATCTCTCTTTCACTCTTGTTATTTTAAAGAAATTTTCTCTAAACTCAATTCTAGCTTTATATATTTATTTGTTAATTATCAATTTTATTAAGCTAGATCTTATATTGAGTTTAGTTTTGTTATTGTTCATATTGTTTTACACACCCATATTTGAGCTTGAGTATTTTTACATATAATTCATTTGGGTTGTGAGTGTGATTGAGTGAGCTTAATTTCGTTCTCAATTTGTATTGGAGAACAAATCATTTTATTTGTACTTAATTGTTAAGACTTAAGAGTTCACTTTGTAATACACAAGTACACCGAGAGGAGTGTGGTGAGAGACGGGGTCGATTCCAAGAAGAGTGACGTCGGTAGTAAAGCCTAGAGAGAGGTTGTAAATCCGAGCACTTGAGGAAGACGACACGTGCTAGACCAACACTTAGAGGGTGTAGTGTGTGATTGCATTGTGTATATTGTAAACGTTAGTCGGTGAGCGTTGAAAACCGATTGTGAACGTTTTCGGTGAACATTGAAAATCGGTTGTGATAGTAGTGTTCTCCCCGGGAGTGAGGAGCGGAGACGTAGGTCGAGGGTGATCGAACTCCGTGATCATATTGTGTAAGGAATAAAAAATCGTGGTTGGGAAGGTCATAGTAGCAAAAGCCATTGGAATTTGTTTGAGTTTGCCTTGGCGTATTATTCTTGTGCTCATTTGCTTATCATATTTCTATATCTCATTGTCTCATAGTTTATATTGCCTTTTGCTTATTTGTTATCCTTGCATATATCTCATTGTATATCATACTTGCTAGGATATTATTAAAAAGTTTTTAAATTGGCATTAATATCGGATTACATTAGCATATACCCTATTCACCCTCCTCTAGGATAATTTCAAGCCTAACAGAACATACCCCAAACAAAAAAATAAAAAATAAAAATAAATAAATAAATAAATAAATAAATAAATCTTGAATTAGTCTAAATTACCATCAGAATCCTTGAAATTAGAAAAAATATACCAGAGTTCGTTGGTAAAATTGCTTTTCCTAGTGACTTCAACAATAAAACTGAGTTCAACATTGGAGGTGGATGGAAAATAACAGTATCTGATTTTCTGGTGTTGATGAAATAAAGGTAGCACACTGAAAAGAAGGAAATTTACTCAGAAGCTGTTGTGCAACTAATGCAGCATATTCATCTTTCCTCGCCCTTTGATCTTGAACTTTCTTTTCAAGTTGCTCAGTTCTGGCTACTGCAGCAGAGATGGATTTAGCTATAGCTGTGTGCTTGGCTTCCTTGCAAGTCCTCACTGGAAAATTAAATGGGAGAACATGGAGAATCTAGTAATAATAATTCATTAATAATCTAATCCATATACATGTATGACGAGTGCATCAAATTGTGGAATTGGAAAAAGTAACACGTGTCAGCAAATCCCATGGAAAGTTTTGCAGCTCATGTGGAAGAAACTTGAAAATTGAGTGAAAGACCTAATGATGGTATTAAAGAATCCAAACTGTTCATTCCTTTTCAGGAGGTTGTATGGAAATTTATTCTTACCAGTTACCACCCTAAACTATTTATGAAGCTAAAGAATAGAATATTATTAACAACTAATTAACTAAATCAAGAATTGCAAAACAGGTAGAAGATTAAAAGTCTCAAAATTTCCTGGCACTATTTTTATGTCAAAGCTATTCGGCTAATAAATCTGTTCTAACCAGCATACTTAGATTGGAATCTCACACTCAAACTCACCCACTCTTACCTTTCCATATCTCGAAAAGAAAATAAAACAAGGAAATATAGTAAAATGTAAATGAAAGAATTTCTTAAAAGAAAAAAAACAATATTCAGGTTGGGGTAAATATGTACTTAGACTCGAGAATACACTCTTTGGACATAAATGGGTGCATGAAGAACTGAATTTGAGAACTCAACTTATCTAGTGCGTCCCTTCCATATGTGAACCTGTATAAAAGAAAGATGAAATGTTCAACGACCAAATAATATCCAGAGAATATTACCTGATAGGACATCATTGAGATCAGTCTCCAATTGTCTCAGGTAACCTTTCAACTTAGCAAGTTTATCTGTAAATTGTGAGAGGAAAAAAAAAGAGAGAGAATCGTGTTGAGGATTAATTGGGCCATATATGATATGCTGAAATATAAAACAGACACAAGAACATTATCACGGAAAAGGAACACAGAGAACAATTTCAAAGACCTAAATAATATCAAGAGACAAGGACAATATATTAGGATGAGGAAGTTAACACCTAAATTGTTAAGATTGCCTCACTGAGAGCTTCCACATGTAGTGGTTAAGTAAAATCAAAGGGAAGAACAGAATTCGATCCTGCAGAGGCACTAATAAGTTCACCCAGCATCTATTTCTTAACAGAGAAAGAGGAGGAAGAAGAACAATAATAGAAAGGTCATAACTAGGTAGGTATACTCATAGAACTTTCCCATACTAACAAAGATTAAAGAATGAGAAAAGTTGCAGTAAATTTCCATGTGCTCAGCCTCGGCCATCTTCCTACAAGTTTTTTATGTTTCTTAGATCGAGTGGATTATAAATTGGAAAATTGCTCGTTTTTGGACTTAATGGCTAAATAACCTTTTAAAATCAATACTTATGAATTGGGCATGGGATGAAACAGACCCGACACATGTCCATCATGTTGCAGAAAGGGGATGTGTAGTGTAAGATATACATCCAATAAATGTGTAATGAGTGTTTTAAACTAAGACATGTACTATAAAATTGAGTCAAATTTGAATAAATGTATGCATTTATTCAAAGAGTGTCTAATGAGTCTCGGAGTTAGGAGACAGGTACGGGTATGAGAAGTGTCAAATACGAATAAGGGAGCCAAGATGAGGTGTCAGAGTAACCTAGCTAATCACCGTTCCCTCTCCATAGCACTTTGATGGCTCCTCCTGATGTTTCACTTGTCTCTTGCTAGATCATTGTCTCGTGCCTCAGGAAAATTGTTTGGGTGCTTGTTTCTATATTAGAGGTGGATAGAGCAAAAGATAAGGAAAATACTATTTACAAAAGTTTCTTTTGTTGGCACGCGTCCACTGCAACCCAACACCAATTATTGCGCACCAATCCAAATTCAATGCAAAAGCATAACCGGAACCCTGATTAGATCCCCTTCTTCGTAGACCAATCAATTACTCAGCGACGTGGAAACTCCAAAACTTGTCCGAACTAAAGAGAATAGCAGTTTGCCACAGAAAATGGAACACGAGATCAGTGACACATAAAATTTACGTGGTTCGGCAATCGCTTACGTCCACAACTACATATTTGAGTCTTCTTTATATCAGAGACTACAAGATACAACCTTTCTTGTGTTCTTGATAGAACTCACAAGAAACCCTCTCCCACTAAAAGATCTCTCAAAACCCTAGATTAACTCTCAGTTTCTCTCTACCTTGTCTTTTCCTCATCAAATCCTAGACCTAGAAGAGTCTATCTATAGACCCAAAAACCGATGACATAACCCAATAGGGACTCTAACCCGAATAGGAATTCTAAACAAAAGAAACTAGTTTGAACTAGTCTGACCAACTAGTCCGACCGGCCGGTAAATCGACAGGGCCTCATGATCAGTCTGACCGGCCGGTTCCGCCACCACCTTCATTAGTTTTCCCTCCCACTTTGATTTTGATTTTTGCGATGTCTCTCGAGCTGAAATATAAGGCATTTCCCAACACTTTTGATATAGATATATAGCCTAAATTAGCTATTTTAATTCTGTCTCTCATATCATGATAATTGCTAATTTTCCATCCATACTGTTTTCCTCTTCACTTTTGCTCCCAAACCTACATGTTACAGAATCTAATTGGAAATTTTGTTAAATATTATTAAAATAATCTAAATCTATACTGCAACACC